TTACTTACTAGAGAAAAATCTTTGGGAAAATAGACAAGCTGTAGGCTAAATACGATCTATTAAAATACTTTGCGATATAGTAAGATACATCCAATAAGGCATAAAAATCTAACGTAGTGTTTTAACTACTCTTACGTCCTTTCAATTAGCTCAATTAACCATCATTTCCTGAGGAGGAAGTCTTTATATGACAGTTCCTCAGCTTAGCCATATAACGAAAAATAAGAAAACTTTGTCATTTATACTGCAGTATGTGCTGTTGTGCTTGTGGGATGCATGTTCACCAACTAATCTAAAGTGATTAGTTCATGTAAATTGTATGCACTTGGCTTCATTAAGCAAACGCTGACACGTTACACACACGTTACACCTACTGTACATAATAATCTATAGTAAAATATATAGAAATATGACACGTTACACCCATTGTTTTTAAAAATAAATATATATATATATATATATATATATATATATATATATATATATATATATATATATATATATATATATATATATATATATACCGGGTGTCCCAAAAAAGTACTCCTGTTTGATTCGTAATAACTTCTAAACAAGTAAAGCTTTTAAAGAGAAATAACTTGCATTAAATAGAGGAAGGACTAACTTAGATTTTGATATATTATAGTTGTATTTTACTTAAAAATTCACGGAGATATTGATGTTCAAAATCGGGAGCATATTTTGGGATGTCTAAAATTAGCGAAAATCGGCATATCAAATATTAACTCCAGCGTTTGTTTGCTTAATGACATATCAGGCTAACTTGTATTTCAGCGAATTATCGTTAGGGTTTGTAATGGATATGGCGTAGATTTAGACATCTTACATGTAAGTCTTAACTCATTGTTTCCTGAAATATGAACGTTCGAAATTATGCAAGTATTTAATATTAGGTCTTTACAAACTTAAAAGTACATGAAAGACTGACCATGGAAGGCAGGCGCTTAAATTTTTCTTAAATAGCCTAATTTTTTTATGTTTTTAATGGGTTCAAACAGACTGAGTTGATTATTTCTCGGTTAGAGCAGGATGAATATTATTCTTTATTGAAGGAAATAATATTGCTTTTTGCAAATACACATCGCCGAATCAACGCTACTATTTTGTTACGTTTTGTTCCAAAAATGTTGCATGTCTCTGGGGAGTTGCTTAATTGTTATGTCTTATGGAGTTATATGGTTTGATTGTGTTTCATATAATTCTCAGTTTACTCTGAATTTGCCAAGATTAAGAAAATGCAAAAGAGTTTGTGTGGTCTTAACAAGATTTCAGAACGTTGCAGAAGTTAGAAGAGTTTCACAATTCCATTGTGACAGCATGCCCTTATTCGTAACAACGAACGATCCATGACGATCCTTCGCGATGCAGTCGTCTCATGAAATAAGGAAACGTATTCGTGCTAGGAGCACACGCGAATTTCGGACGAATAAATCTTGCTTGTATTTTGTAGATATAATATTACTTTCTTTCATAATAAACTATTTGTCAAGTGTCATTTATTTACTGGTACTAGTGCATGTTTCAGTCGGGCAAATCTTGATTAATATTTGATACGCCGTTTTTTTCATATTTCAGACACATCCAGAAATATGCTCCCGATTTTAAAGATTAATATATCGTGAATTTTGTAAGTGAAATACAACTGTAATATATCAAAATCTAAGTTAGTCCTTCCTCTATTTGATGCAAGTTATTTCTCTTTAAAAGCTTTACTTGTTTAGAAGTTATTACGAATCGAACAGGAGTACTTTTTTTTGGGACACCCGGTATACTATCTATAGTTAATGCCGTATCTTCGGCGTAGAGTTACATGGAATGCACTCTGGAATTTTTTATTAATATATTACACTGTTAAAATATTGGATATTTTCGAGGATATTTTAAGCCATTTGTCAACATAATTCACAAAAAGATTTATACAGTATTAAAAACAATCCTTCTGTGACTTCTGTAATATTTTAAACAGTGAAAACATTCTCAGGAGATATTGAATTAAATCCCGGTCCTGTATTTCTGTATATTGACTCCATAACTCTGTTCAAAACAACAGTCCAACTATAAAGCTGTCATCAAATGTAGTGTTAGAGCAAAGGTTGAAGATGTTATCAGTTAAAATACTTATATATTTTGGTTTTACACATTAGAGTTAAACAAAATTTTTACAAACATTTTCAAATAAAAGAATCCTCACCCTCCCGAGCCTCATTACATTGTCATTTTGCTTTCTAACATAACTATTTTTCTTTAGAGATTAATACAAGAATGAAGAATAAATCTACTGGATATTGGCTGGATAATTTTGTCAGAACAACCAACTTGCAAGACAATCTTACCTAAATTCATTAGTATGGAATAAACTTAACAGCTACAATGAGTAATCATATATTATATGGTGGATTTGATCAATGGCACACAATGTAAAAAACTAAAATTGTGATACCTTCTACTCAAACCGATAATCTCCCACAACACGATTGTTTTTGTGTGAATGTGCTGTACGTGTTAAACCGAACAGTGTGGTATATCATAAACTGTGCACAGAACTGGAATTTAATTATATACTTCACTCATGACCTTCAAAACATTCTCAATTATTCAGTGGTCTTCGACATGTTCACCAAATATTTTGTGTATGTTACTCAACAGTTAACATTGGCAAGTGTAAACAACAAGTGACATAACTTTTGCTGCATATGATTACAATAAAGTTTTGAAAATTTGATGAGTATGGATTGAATTGACAGGTGACAGTTTACTAAATAGCCGGCTGTATAGACACTTTGAATATTGTTTGCATGAAATTTTTATTTTCTGACTGCATAATTATCTGTTACAATCAAAATCACATTATAATGTTAGTTAAATTTTCTCGGTGTGGGGGTGGGGGTAGCACTTGCCCTGCTGCACTCCCCGCTGTGTACAGCCCTGTTTTAAATCTTATCTGCCATTATAATAAGTGATGAAATATTTCATTTGTCCCATGTCATCTTCATTATTCAGTTTCTTTCAAGAAAATACAAAATGTGAATCAAGTTTTTTTCGCAGATACATGTACGCGTCGCGTACCTATTTTTTTACATGCGGCAGTTTTACATTTCATACAACACTTTCTATAACTGGCAGAGTAAACAGAAGTCAAAACTCTTCAACCTTTACAACTCTTACACCGGGTTGCTTTTACGTATGCCCCAACACAGTAGGGTAGAGTACAGTAGACTGTAGAGTTTAGTAAAGTACAGTTAAGTATAAAGTACAGTTTAGTTCAGTGCAGTAAAGTACACTCTGTACAGTACAATACAATACAATGTATTAGGGTACTGTACGGTGAGTGCAAAAAACTAGAGTACAGCATGGTTCTAAAATCGTTCATATATAACGCTTATCTGTAAAAACATTCCAGGTAATTTTGGATGAGCTACCACCATTACCGAAACAAGAGTGCAAAATTTCCGCGTCTTT